AGCATCTGCTGAAGTTACTTTGATACCCAATAATGGTATTTCCAAACTCTTCTGGAGGCATACATATAGCTATGACTCTCTGTTGCGCTCATGCACAAGATTATCCTCTTCAATGCGCTGCAATAACTCCTCGTACACTTTCAAGCAGTTTGCAGCAAATCTCTCCATGGCCTCAAAGATATGATGTAGACCAGCCTGAAGGCTACTATTTTTGCAAGTGTCATTCTGGTAAATGGCCTGCTTGCTCATCATCGACAGAGCATTTTCCTCCCCAGAAGCCAAAATCTTTCTTTCTAATGCGGAAATCCCTTTTTTTATCTTCTGATCCTCCCTTTCAAGGTTCTTCATCTTTCTCTCCATATTATTATCATTCATCACTCTATGGCGCATTTCTAGCTTATCTCGTTCCCACAGGTGAAGGACATTTGTGGAAAAATCACGCATACTGTCCACAACTTCTTTCTCAGACAACCTTTCCAACGATTGTGCCCAGTGATTACAGATAACAAACACAGGGGGAGCACCTATTCTACCAGGAGAGAATGGAACTATTCCATCAGGTGTTTCTTCAGGAACGTAAAGTAGGCATTTCATAAGCCAGTGATTCAGTGCTCTGATATAACCTCGCTGGGCACTTATCCAGCAAGAGAACCTTAGAGTCCAGTTTAGGAGATCGTGCTCAAGGTGCAAAGTGGCTTCCAGATGAGCATGGCACTGATTCTGATGGCACTCAAGCATGGATTTCCACATCTTGGTTTAACCTAGAGATATGAAAAATATTAAGGGAAAGTGAAGTACCTTACCCCTCATTGTCCAACTCTAGATGGATCGTTGCTTGCATCCGTGAATGACAAGAACAATGTTCACGGTGTTCAATGTGCTTAAATCCATGAACAAATAGAAGAAACAAAAAAATCCAAAACTAGAGGAGTGATGTAAAGAAATTGACGAGGCACGATTTACATCCCAAATTACCTTCAGGTGAAATTTACATCACCTTACAATGAGCGGGGGGGTGGCATCAGCAGTGTCCTTGAATCAGCGGAACCTCGACAGAAGGAGGAGGAGGAGGAGGATTAAGAAGAAGAGTTGTGAGGGAAGAAGAAATAGGAGGGACGGATGATAGACTGTTTAGGAAAAGAAAGTATTTTAGGGTTATAATTAGGGTTATATCTAATAATTAAAGTCTAAAAGTACTTTAGTAAATGAACATTATGGGTTAAAAATTAATTAATTACTATACAGAGAATATAAACTACTAGGTCCTATTTAGGGAAAAAGGTTAAGTTTTAATATTATTAGGAGCAAGTTTCACAATAATCAATCGCGTTCCTGGAACAACTAGACTATCTAGAAGAAGTTGAAATACTAGCAGCAATATAAGTGCTGTTAATGACAATACTTGTAAGCACTCAAGCCCTACTAGAAGATGTTTCCCTAACCAATGTGGCAACTGGCAACATGTGTCTGTGTGTGTGTGCTGAAATACAAAACAACCTTGTTATAAAGACCTGAAAATGGCCATGAAACCATTTCAAAAACATTTTAAAGCAAAGAGGCCAAAAAGAGACACACCTTAAACCACAGAGGCCAAAAATACACTATGGACATATGAAAAAGTGAAAACTACTTACCCTAGTATGAATTCATTAAGTTGTGGCCACAACTCTTCATCCCTCAATTTATTTATCTTCTCAGAAATCTTATCAACAATTTGAATTGCAATTCGGATTTTTGTTGAAAGGCTCCTAACCAGAGTTCTTGTCACATCTACTCTGTGAGTCTCAGCACCCTTTTCAGCTAGTCGCTTTAATCTTTGACTTTTCTTATCATGAATTACCCGCATTTTCTCCTCAACCGGCATAGAAGGTGCTCCTTTAGTGTGCAGTGAAGAGAGGAAGTATAATACAAGACAACCCAATAACTCCCACAAGTAGGATATGGGGGTGGAGAAATGATAGATGAAAAGAGGAAGAATAGAATGGCAGCAAAAAAGACCGGATATGCACACACCACAGTTTATGAACCTATAACAGAAAATTATGAGCTAAAGTGGGTTCCATTAGAATGAATGGGGACAATATGATAAAGAACATAAAATCACACTTTGCAGCCTGCTAATACAAACATATAATCAAGCTAGGAGAAGTAGATTTTTCAAGAATATTAACATGTTGTAAGAAGTAAAACAATAAAGAAACATACCTTAACTTCTTCATAGAGTTTCTTCTCCCAAAGATAGAGCTTTTGTAAGGTAGAAGAAAGACTTTTGGACCTTAAAGACCTTACTTCTCCTTCTACATTAAATAAAGCAGGATCAGACTTGTCACCTCCGGCACCTTTTGATGTAGAAGGTTGTGATGACAACACAAACAAGGAAGGAGTAAATGCGTGCAACATCTTGGAAGAAGCTGTCCCAAAATAAGCCCGTGAGTTTACTTTAACAACAACAACAACAACAACCCAGTTGAATCCCACAAAAGCCCGTGAGTTTACTTTAAACATTAAAAAAACAATGAGAGTCCATTAAAATAACCTGGAACTTAGAACCAATAAATTTTAAAGTATACTGGAATTAGTCACGAGTGAAAAAAATCCATTCATATTTCATAAAGATGAGAGCTTTAACCAGGAAACATTAAACATTACAACTTCATCGTATAAAGAAGACAGAAAAAGGCAATCTTTTACCTTGATAGGCAGAGTGTTTGAGGTTGTAGGGTAGCTATCCAACCTCTAGAATCTTAGCCAGTTCGCTGCCGGATTCCGATGCTCGTTCAAATTGAAGCTGAATCTCCCTCATGACATCCGAGTCTCCATTGAAACAACCTCGAGCCGTGAACCCTCGCACATTTTTGTGATCCTCTGATGTCCCTGGATCGTTAACCACTTTCTTATCCACGATATGCACCTCGTAATCGACGGGATCGTTCTGAGCAGATACAGTTGGTCTGGCCCCCTGGTAAAGAGATTCCGGATCACTCGGCTTGTCATCCTCATCCTTTGAGGCAACCTTACTCGAATAGCTCCGGCCATGGTGTCTACCCCCATCCACAAACTTGTGATCCACATGGACTTTCTTCACAACCTCCTGCTCAGAATCATCTTCTTCCAGATCAGGAATTCCCTCCTCCTCCCTCACCTCCATGGAATCCCGGCTTGGCGAGTAGGGACAGTAAAAATTATCAACACTCTCGAAAGGATTCAAAAAATCCCAAGCGGAGCCAGTTGGGGGTGGGGGTGGGGGTGGAGTTTGCTTGGAAGTAGATGAAGAAGGCTGAGATGATCTGTGCACGGGCTGGGAAGCACCAAAGAAACCACCGCCAGCATAATTGTAGAAAGAAGAAATGAAGCTGGGGTTGGGATGAGGGTGGTAAGAGGAAGAAGGAGAAGACGAAGAGATGTCACCCATGCGCACAGTGTCGGCCGCCATGGGCCGTTGTTGATAAGTAACAGAGGGCGTGGATTGGTTCCGCATGAAATTCATGTGCATAAATGTACCGGAAGTGGAGGCAAGAGGGGAAGAAGAATAAAGGGCGTCAGGATCGTCAGCCGCATAGGGGGTCTCAGATTGGTGGTGGTGGTGNGCTGGGGTTGGGATGAGGGTGGTAAGAGGAAGAAGGAGAAGACGAAGAGATGTCACCCATGCGCACAGTGTCGGCCGCCATGGGCCGTTGTTGATAAGTAACAGAGGGCGTGGATTGGTTCCGCATGAAATTCATGTGCATAAATGTACCGGAAGTGGAGGCAAGAGGGGAAGAAGAATAAAGGGCGTCAGGATCGTCAGCCGCATAGGGGGTCTCAGATTGGTGGTGGTGGTGCAAAGAGGCGATCTGGGAACATCCGTTGTCGTCGTCTCTGTCGTCTTCTGAATCGGAGTGGAAGTGAAGGTGGGAGCCAGAGCTGGAGTGGTGATGATGAACGGCAGCGTGAGCGTGAGGGGGCTTGATGTCGCTTTGAGAGGGGGAGAGGAGGGGGGTCCATCGGAAGAAGAAGAAGAAAAGATGAAGTGGCTGACGAAGAAAACATTGGGATACGACAAGTAAAAGTGGAACAAAACACAATCACTTCATTTTAAGAAACAATTGACATCTACTACTCATGAAGTGGAAAATTAGATGAGTTGGACAAGGAAAGCTAGTATCGTACGGAGTAACTCGTTTTGTCCAATTATAATAAAAAAATTGAAAATCCTAGTGACATTGGACAACAGGGATCATGTCATTCATGTGTATAAGATTATGGTATTGATTTTTCATTTGATAACTGGTCAATTTCTAAGGCAGAATGGTATATTGAAACATGGAATCGGAAAGTAGTTGGCCTTAACGAAGTGCAAGCAGACAATCTAATCAAGGCAACAGATTGACTGCATGCACTTCGTTAAGGCCATAAGACCCCTAATGGAAATCACCAACCCAGGGTGTAAATTACCCCAAAATCTCTCTTCTTAAATATAAAATCATAATAATCTAATAATACTTTGTATAAGGTCAAGAAATGCATACATTTTTCTTCATCACTTTCTTCGTTGCTATTAAGAAAGCTCAAACAACCTAGATGTGAGCTATAACATCTTTAACCCCTGCAAAGAAACCTCAAAATGCAAAAGGCAAAAGCAAATTCTCTAAAAGCAAATTGTATGTTAAATCAACTTTTAAATATCCTTCTTTGAGAAACCCCGACTCTTAAACAAAGTAGAGTGTCTGTTATAAAATTCAAATTTGAAGTAAAGTTGTCGTCAAAGATTTTAGAAACAAAAGAAAATTTTAAAGAAGATCAAATTACCGATTTCTCAGGTGCAAATAGTCTATATCCTCAATCTAAGGAGTCGGTAGCTGCCATCACCAGGTTTGTCTCCCTGTTGTTTAGTTGTTCTTCGTCCACCGTCGTTTTGGACGACTATAGGTTTGTTTGTCGGCGCGCCACCCTGTTTGATTATCTACATCTGTTGTTGCGAGGGAAGAAGGCAGAACTTCGATTGAGGTCGGCGGTTGAACTTGGTTTGATTGCGCCTGTTTTGGTCGCCAGTTTTGGTCACCGATACTAAGGGGCGGATTGCATCACCGTTACTGGTTGCGTCTCTCTCAATCCTCGTTAGTTGATGAAAGAAAACCGTAAAATAAATAATACTCCCTCCGTCCCCCATAGATCTTCTCAATAGCCCTTTTTCTTTGTCCCCAATAGATCTTCTCATTTCATTTTTTAGCAAGTAAAATACCACAACTACCCCCACTTACTTTATTTATTACACCTCACCCACCTCATTTAATACACTCCACCCATTTTCATTAAGGGTATTTTGGTAAACTTTCACCTGTTTTCAACTCTCCTTAAAAAACACAAAAAGTCAAAATGAGAACATCTTAGGGGGACGGAGAGAGTAAATACCAATCCATTTCACCTTTATTACAAAATTGCCACTGCTTTGAAATTGAAATTGGAACGTCAGATTAAACCATAAATTGATATTGGTCTGTCCAATTTTGCATGGGCTGAACTCAATTTTGATTGTCTTTTTATATATAATAGATACATTTTTCTGAGGTGTAAACAAAATAAATTTTTTACTCGTAAAAAAAGAATGGACAGATTTCAATTCAGATATTGCCGCCGTCAAAAAAAGGACGAGGGCCTGAACCAGCAACAAGTGTTCAAAGCAGTTCAGAGCTTAACCCAGGCAGCAAAAGCAGTGACTCTAGCGAGTAAAGGAGCGAGGCTAGGTTTCTCACCTTGGAGACATGCATGAGGGAGATTTAAAGGAAGAGGGTGAGTAGAGGAGGCGAGTGTACATCACACTTTCTTGTTGCGTAAAGGCAAATATAGGGTTTTGTTTTGCCTAATTAGGAAAAGAACTTTATTTTTTTGAGCCATCTAGAGCCCACACAATGTAGTTTAAGCAATGTAAAAACTCCGAGGCATTTAGGGATATCATTGAAGGAAACATAAAACCAAAGATATCTCTCACTCTTTCATATTCTTCGTACAACAGCCTATATAGTAAAAACAGATTCACAAATCATCAATTACTAGTACAAAAGTATACCATTGACCCGTGGGACACACTAGTACATGATGTCATTTATACAATAATGTGTGCCTGTTACCATTGTATGCACACTTAATAATTGAGCACATAAATTTGTAATCAACAAACATCAATTTGAGGTGAATGAATCATACGTGTTGAAACCAAAGTGTAGTGTCATTCCCAAAATTCATTTAATATGAACCAATATTTGACTTTGTCAAACTCGCACTCATCATAAGCCATGCAATTAGATCAAGAAGATCAAAAATCAAGAAAGCTGATATAAAGTTGAAAATGGGTGGCAAAAGAGATAGTCGCCAATGTAAAATAGAGGAAATGAAGATTTAGAAATAAATTTGAAGGTTTGAGGAAAACAAAAAGAAAAGGATATAGAGATTCAATTCCAATGCATGAAATATTTTATGAGAAAAGGATTTAGAGATTATAACACTAAATCAAGCAATTACATGGAACACATGATGCAATGAGGTGAATCAAGAATAAGGACAACAAAGCATAAAAAATAAGAGAGATATTCAATACTAACCTAATATCATCTTTCATGTGAAAGGCCTCAAGCTCCTCTTTTTTGAGTAATTGAATAATCTCCTCATGCCCAAACCGAAGGCTATAAGGGATGTTCATCACCTTTTCTCAATAGGAATCTCAATCAACCCATTGTTCAAATTTTTGGCACATGTCAACAAGGCCCTTAGACATGGAGAAAGACGACTCCTACCAGGCACCTTGTCCCAAACAAAAAATCTTGGACACAACTAAGGATCATGGCGGGGTTATTGATGACGCTTGGGGATAGATAGACAGAAAAATTTTTGCACCAATGTCTTCTACTATCCCAGGTACCTATATAACACAAGTTGCAAATGCATTAACAAAAAGATCATACGCATCTAGTATAGCAACACTGTTGATTTAATTGACACTTTTTTTTATCAACATGATCAACTTAACTGTATAATAAAATAATTAATTCGTTGCAACATCTTAAGTTTTAACTAGGTATAAAGTTAAGCTTGTAACAGTTTATTGGACATTAAAAACAACAAGTGGTCACTGGAGATGTCTTGGTAAACTAGATTAAAGCTTGGACTTTACGTTACGAGACAAAACATAAATATTTCAAGATTTCAACTCCGTATCAGGCGTCAACAATATTGGTTTGCTAAACACAAGGGTTATTATCTTAAAATTCAAGGTTGGTGCGTGAAGTATGATCTCTCTTTTAAAGTACAAATGAGACCAATAATCAAAAGCTTTGAAACCTTATTCCGGTTGTACCTCTAACAAAAAGTATTGTGCCATTACAAACAAATGGTTTTTCTAATATTATAAAATTTGTAAATTCAATTACAAATTACTTAGTCTTGACTCAAATCCTAGGCATAATTGAAAAACACCTCATACAAGTTAATGTATATCTCTGGAAAAAAGCTTCTCAAGAATTCTTCAACCTTTAAGTCGGGTATATTTCTTTGAGGGGAAATAGCAATAAACCCACAAGACCAAAAGTTGAAATTAGCAAAAAAAATTGTATAGTTAATCACTCGTCACGTGTAAAAATGGATATGTCAACAGAATATGTAAAGAAAGTTACCTCTCTTGTTCCCCCCATCGGTGTAGGAATAATCATTGATATGGCTGCCTGTAGCGAACCATGTCAACATCATATTTCTTGATTGAATTGTAAATTTTTGATCTATTAAAAATTTCTTTAAATACCTTCACATGAATTTTTTTACTCCAAATAATTTTATATTCGTATGGACCATAGCACGCTTCAAGACGGTCATTAAAACTCTTCTTATGCACATCTTCTTTTATGAATTCTTTTAAATCTTTGATAAAATCCACACGCTCTTGAATTGACCAGAAAGAATGGATGATTATACACCCAAATATAGGAAATTTCACTCTTGAAAACAACATTTATAAGACATTATGAACAAAAATAAAAATAAAACATTATGATCAATAAGAAGATGGATCAAAAAGTTCTAGAAATTGAATAATATGCATCCCCGACAATAAATATATGGATATAATGCACATTGTTCTTGGACCAACTGGCAGGTTAGGACAAAGCCTATACAAGAGTGGCTTAGCAAAATAAAGTTGCCAAGAAAGAGAGTCATTAGGCTTTCATGAACCAATGTGCATTATATCCATATATATATATATATATATATATATATATATATATATATATATATATATATATATATATATTTTGTCGGGAATGCATATTATCCGATTTCTATAATCTTTAAAGCATGGAAATTTTGTTCTAACAGAGTATATCCTTAAGACTTACACCACCCTAATATTTTGGTGCACATACACTCTTCCTACTTTGTGAAACCATCTTCCTATTGATCATAATGTTTTATTTTTATTTATGTTCATAATATCTTATAAATGTTGTTTTAAGGAGTGAAATTCCTTATATTTGGATGTATAATCATCTATTCTTTTGGTCAAGTCAAAAGCGCGTGGATTTTATCAAGGATTTAAAAGAATTCATGAAAGATGTTCTGCATAAGAAGAATTTTAAGGACCATCTTGAAGCATGCTATGGTCCATACGAATATAAAATTGATTGGAGTAAAAAAACTAATGTGAAGGTATTTGAAAAGATTTTTAATAAACCAAAAATTGACAATTCAATCAAGAAATATGATGCTACTCTCCCAATCAACATGGCTCGCTACATGACTGTAACAGTCAAATCAATGATTATAACTACACCGGCGGGGGAACAAGAAAGAACTTTCTTTACATAATATTCTCTAGACATATTCATTTTTACACTTGACAAGTGATTAACTGTACAAAGTTTTTTTGCTAACCTCAACTTTTGGTCTTGTGGGTTTATTGTTACTCGTATTTTCCTGTCAAAGAAATATACCCGACATGAGGTTGAAGAATCCTTGTAGAGCTTTTTCCTAGAAATATACATTAACTTGTATAAGGCATTTTTCAATCATTCCCAAGATTACAGTCAAGAGTAAGTAATTTGTAGTTGATCTATATTATAATTTTAGAAAAATCAATTGTTTGCACTGACATGGTACTTTTTGTTACAGGTACAACCGGACTAAGGTTTTTAAAGCTTTTAATCATTGGTCTCATTTGCACTTTAAAAGAGAGGTAATACTTCGAGCACCAACTTTTCAAGGGATCAGCGTGTAGTAAGTCACTCTGCCCTTAAATTTTATCCTCATACCTTGAATTTTGAAATAATAACCCATGAGTTTAGCAAACCATCCTTCGGAGTTGAAATCTTGAAATATTTTTGTTTTGTCCCTAATGTAAAGTCCAAGCTTTAATCTTGTGTACCAAAACATCTCTAGTGAACACTTGTTGATCTTAATGTCCAGGAAACTCACACAAGCTTAATTTTATACCTAGTTAAAACTAAAGGTGTTGCAAAAAATTCATTATTACAATGTAGAGTAAGAGAGATTAAGTTAATAGAAAAAAGTGCTAATTAAATCAGCAATGATACTATGCTAGATGTGTATGATCTTTTTGTTAATCCATTTGCAATCTGTGTTATATAGGTACCGTGGATAGAAGAAGACATTACCACGAGTTTTTCAGTTTATGTATCTGGAAGCATCATCAATCAACCCGCCACGATCCTCAGTTGTGTCCAAGAATTTTGTTTAGGACAAGGTGCCTGATAGGAGTCGTCTTTCCCCGTGTTTAAGGTCAAGAATTGCATACATTTTTCTTCATCACTTTCTTCGTTGCTATTAAGAAAGCTCAAACAACCTAGATGTGAGCTATAACATCTTTAACCCCTGCAAAGAAACCTCAAAATGCAAAAGGCAAAAGCAAATTCTCTAAAAGCAAATTGTATGTTAAATCAACTTTTAAATATCCTTCTTTGAGAAACCCCGACTCTTAAACAAAGTAGAGTGTCTGTTATAAAATTCAAATTTGAAGTAAAGTTGTCGTCAAAGATTTTAGAAACAAAAGAAAATTTTAAAGAAGATCAAATTACCGATTTCTCAGGTGCAAATAGTCTATATCCTCAATCTAAGGAGTCGGTCGCTGCCATCACCAGGTTTGTCTCCCTGTTGTTTAGTTGTTCTTCGTCCACCGTCGTTTTGGACAACTATAGGTTTGTTTGTTGGCGCGCCACCCTGTTTGATTATCTACATCTGTTGTTGCGAGGGAAGAAGGCAGAACTTCGATTGAGGTCGGCGGTTGAACTTGGTTTGATTGCGGCTGTTTTGGTCGCCAGTTTTGGTCACCGATACTAAGGGGCGGATTGCATCATCGTTACTGGTTGCGTCTCTCTCAATCCTCGGTAGTTGATGAAAGAAAACCGTAAAATAAATAATAAATACCAATCCATTTCACCTATATTACAAAATTGCCACTGCTTTGAAATTGAAATTGGAACGTCAGATTAAACCATTGCATGGGCTGAACTCAATTTTGATTGTCTTTTTATATATAATAGATATTTTTCTGAGGGAATTGTTGACATGTGCCAAAAAATTGTATACATTAGGGGTCTAACTGGCATGTGCCAAAAATTTGGGGTCTAACTGGCATGTTCCAAAAATTTGTATACATTAGGGGTCTAACTGACATGTGCCTTGTTGACATGTGCCAAAAATTTGAACGATGGGTTGATTGAGATTCCTATTGGGAAAGAGGTGATGAACAAGATGAACATCCCTCATAGCCTTTTATATGGGCATGAGGAGATCATTCAATTATTCAAGAAAGAGGAGCTTGAGGCCTTTCATATGAAAGATGACATTAGGTTAGTATTTAATATCTTTTATTTTTTAGGCTTTGTCCTTATTCTTGATTCACTTCATTGCATTATGTGTTCCATGTAATTGCTTAATTTGGTGTTATAATTTCTAAATCCTTTTCTAATAAAGTATATCATGCATTGGAAATAAATCTCTATATCCTTTTCTTTTTGTTTTCCTCAAACTTTCAAATTTATTTCTAGATCTTCATTTCCTTTATTTTACATTGGCGACTCCAAACAAATCAGCTCCGTACTTTTATTAATTGCAAAGATGCAGTCAAGACACAAGTTGATGAGGTTGTTTGCTTGCACCTCGTTAAGGCTACCTCCTCCCCTCATATGGAAAATCAAGACCCCAAGGTTATACTTCGGATTCCTTCTATCCACTATCATTACCCTACTCAAATATTTTCGGTCACATGGAAAAGGAGTAAAGAAGCCTAACTAGGTATGTCATGCAATCACAATAAGGACAAAGTTACTTAGCTACAAATTAAGATCTATGGCATTAACACCACTAACTCGACCAAAATCGAGTAAGTATGCAGGACCATCATGTAAACTACACATATTGCGAACAAAATCAATCACATATTAACATATTGCGAATGCAACTTTCACCAAGAAAAAAAAAGATAGTGTGTGCAATGTAAACTATTTTTTTTTAATAAAGGCACTATAACGTTTTGTGGTTGCATGTCGGAGTACGCGAGATCATAAAATAGCAAATAGAGGAATGCATATGCAACTCTTTTAAGAACGCGAACATAAATCTCATAATTCAGCTCATCTATATGATGATGCTTGACCAATTCAATGAGAAATAAACATTTATCTAATGAAATCATTAGTAACTAATTAAGAAAATATTAACATATTAATAAAGACTCAAATGATGCAATGATTTAAATTTAATATATGCATTATAATAATATCAATTATTCCCAAATGTGTAGCATTGAGAGAAGAAATAGTCATCAAAAAGCAAGTCTAATAGTCATCAAAAAGAATCCTAAAAAGCAAGTCAACCGAAAATACTACCATTTACCTTCAAACTTGATAATATAATGTCTAAATCTAAAATTTACCCAGAATTTTTTACTTTCGCACTTGATCAGGTGAAGTCTGAAAAAATATTGTGAGGACTCAAAATATTTTTCTTTTATTGGGAGGGATGCTCATAGAGCATGATTAACATACTTGCATCCATTATCCGTTTAAGAGTAAAACCTTCAATATACTTCATTACGAAGGTTACAGACTTCATATTATGTTCAGCAAAGCCCAACAAGCGGGGCATACATGGATATCGCAAAAAAAACAATATTCATAGCTTCTGCCTGTAAAATAAACAAGATCTAATTAAGTATTCATTTCTCTTTAAACTACTTTACAAATGCGAGAAAGTGAACAAGCACAATCAATATTACCTTACCATCATTGAAGTACTCTGATATGGCTCTTTCAAAGGCATATAAATCTTCATTGGGTTAAACTCAATTCTATGTCTCACATTAACAACATCACTTCCACTGGTATCTATAGTTTCATGAGTATCTATAGTTTCATGAGCCCAATCAGCTATGTATTTCACAAAGTTTGTATAAATAATACTCAGGCACTACAAAATGAAAGATAAAATGCATAATAGTAGACTTAAGACAATAATTTCCACTAATGGCTCACATATTCAACTTACATGGTTTCAACATGGATAAGCTGATGAAACGGTCTACAAAAAACATGGATTATTGCAGATCATACAATGTAACTCATTGGTCTTCTGCTTAATAACAAGATATTAAATTTTTTTTCCCAAATATTCGGCTATAATATTAAATTCATTCTGTATCACCAATTTCATCGTCGGTTCCTAAATAGTTTGGTCCGCCATATCATCGGGAGAAACAATTGCTTCTCTCAAAACATACAAACTTTAATATCTTGTTATTAAGTAGAGAACCAATGAGTTACATCATATGCTACGCAATAATTCATGGCTCCTTGTTTATGTGGATCATTTCTTCAGCTTATACATGTTAAAACCACATAAGTTGAATATTTGAGTCATTAGTAAAAATTATTGTGTCTTTTGTCTACTATGATGTATTCTATCTTTCAATTTGTAATAGGCGAATATTCATACGAACTTTTGGTGAAATACATAAAGGATCAGGTTCATGAAACAATAGACACCGGTGGAAGTCCTGTTGTTAATGTGGGACCTAGAAATGAGTTTAATCCCAATGAAGGTTTATGTATCTTTAAAAGAGTCATATCAGAGTACTTCAATGATGGTAGGATAATATTGATTGTGTTTGTCTACTTTCTTGCATTTGCAAAGTAATTTTAAAAAAAATAAACACTTAATTTGATCTTGTTTATTTTGTAGGCGGAACTATGAATATGGTTTTTTGCGATATCCGTGTATGACATGATTGCTGGACTTTGCTAAACTTAATATAAAATTTGTAACTCTTATAATGGAGTATATTGAAGGACATACTTTTAAAGGACTAATGGATGCAGATTTGTTAATCATGCTCTATGAGCATCATTTCCAATAAAAGAAAAATATTGCGAGTTCTAACAATATTTCTGATGCTTCACCTAATTTAGTGCGAAATTAAAAATTCCTGTAAATTTTAATTTTAGATTTAGACATAATATTATCAAGTTTGACGGTGAATGGTAGTAGTTCTGATTGACTTACTACTTAGAATCTTTTTTTGATTACTATTTGACTTGCTTTTTGATGACTATATCTTCTCTTTAAGCTACACATTTGGGAATAATTGATATTATTACAATGCATATATTAGCTTTAAATCATTGCAACATTTAAAGCTTTATTAATATGTTAATATTTTCTTAATTAGTTACTAATGATTCCATTAGATGAATGTTTATTTCACATTGAATTGATCAAGCATCATCGTATAAGTAAGCTTAATTATGAGACTATTGTCTGCGTTCTCAAAGGAGTTGCATATGCATTCCTCTGTTTGCAATATTATGATCTCGTGTCCTCAGACATACGACCACAAAATGTTATAGTTCCCGAGTACAAAAAAAAAGTTCGCATTGCACACAGAATTTTTTTTTCTTGATAAAAGCTGCATTCGCAATATGTCAATGTTAATAAGTGACAGATTTTGTACGCAATATATGGAGTTTACGGGATGGTCCTGCATACTTAATCGATTTTGGTTGAGTTAGTGGTGTCAATGCCATTGATTGTGGTGAAGAATTAATATACATTATATCTAACAGTAAGACAATTATATTACCTTACTTTTTTAAAGAATTAGATCTTAACTTGTAGTTAAGTAACTTTTTCCTAATAGTGATTTCATGACATATTTTTTTTAGGTTTCTTTACTCTTTTTCTAGATGACCGAAAATATTTGAGTAGGGTAATGATAGTGGATAGAAGGGATCCGTTGTATAAGATTGGAGTCTTGATTTTCCATATGATAACTAATCGATATCTTGAGGTAGATGCTATATTGAGAGCTAGAAAGGGAAGTCACGATTGCATAACCATTTCAATATAATCAGGGAGGAGTTGGCCTTAACGAGGTGCATGCAGACAACGTTATCAACTTGGGTCTCGACTGCATCTTTGAAGCTAATAAAAGTGTTGAACCAATCTCTTTAGATGTTGTTATATGTAGGCTGAACGAGTTCAGGAGTAGTGTTCATTGTAAGTCTCAGTCTTTTTTCTACTTCATGAGTAGTAGAAATGACATCTGTTTTTTAGAATGTGAAGTGATTTTGTGTTGATCTACTTTCCACTTCATTAATATAAGCATGACTGACATACTAGCTTTTGTTTTAAAATTAAACACGTTAACTGCACGTTCTAAGTTTTCGTAAGATAGAAACACCAGATTAGGTAAAACACCTAGAACCAAAACAGATAGTCTCTCCCTATTAGTACAGAGCTCAATAAAGTTATATCTCACTGTTTAT